GTAATAGGGTATGGTTCACGTACACTCACTCCTACTGAGAAAAACTACAAACTTCACTCAGGAAAGCTTGAATTTTTAGCTTTGAAGTGGGCAGTCACTGAACGATTTCGAGATTACCTCTTCCATGCCCCACACTTTACAGTGTACAGTGATAACAATCCCTTGACATATGTGATGAAAAGTGCTAAACTGAATGCGGTAGGACATCGCTGGGTCTCAGAATTAGCAGATTTCCGATTTACTCTGAAGTACAGACCTGGTAAAGTCAACCGAGATGCTGATTTTCTCTCTCGCAAACCTACAGAAATGGACAAGATAATGTCAGCATGTACAGAGGAATGTAAAGCTGATGACATAACAGCACTACAGCAAGGACTCAAAGCGGATCACAGTGGTGATACTGACTGGATTTCAGCTGTTACATGCAATGTAAATGTACTGTCACAACTAACTGTTCCATGTACGACTCTAGTTGAGCCGATAGCAATCAAAGACATTCAGATTGCTCAACAAGAAGATCAAGTGACACAACGAGTAATCACATTAAAGCAGAAAGGTGAGAAAATTAAATACAGAGACAAAGTGAAAGAGACAACTGAAGTAAAACGACTTTTGAGGGAATGGCCTCATCTTTACCTAGACAAAGATGGAGTGTTACGACGAAAGACAAAAACTAGAAATCAACTTGTCGTTCCTGCTAAGCTTAAGGCACTGATTTTTCAGCAACTCCATGAGGAAATGGGTCATTTAGGAGCGGACAGAATGATCATTAGCCAGAGAGAGGTTCTATTGGCCAAAAATGCGAGAAGAGATTGAACATTATGTGACAAGAGTCTGCCACTGTTTGAAACAGAAGAAACCCAACCGAAAAACTAAAACCCCACTACAAACTATTACAACCTCTGCACCTTTTGAACTAATTTCGATTGATTATCTGCATCTTGAGAGAAGTAAAGGTGGAGTAGAGTATATTCTTGTAATAGTAGATCATTTTACTAAGTTTGCGCAGGCTTATGCAACATCTAACAAGTCTGGAAAGACAGCTGCACGCAAAATCTTTGACGACTTTATTCTGCGATTGGATACCCTGCTCGAATCCATCATGATCAGGGAAGGGAATTCGAGAATGAGTTGTTCAGAAAGTTGCAAAGCTATAGCGGAATACAACATTCAAGGACGACACCTTATCATCCTCAGTCTAACCCAGCTGAACGTTTTAACAGAACTTTTGTTAAGCATGCTCAGAACATTGGAAGAGACACAGAAACCTAACTGGAAAGACTATTTGAACAAAGTAGTACATGCATATAACTCTACAGTCCATGAATCGACTGGCTTTTCACCTTTTTCTGTTATTTGGAAAAGAGCCAATCCTACCCATTGACTTATTGTTTCCAAAAGAGCAAAAGCAGTCGCAGTCTCATCAAGACTATGCAGACAAATGGCAAGGTCAATGCAGGAAGCTTACAACATTGCACAGGAAAACATGAGAAAAGCAAGTAAAAGAGGACAAAAGTGTTACAACAGAAAAGCCTGGAGTTCAGAACTTCAACCTGGAGACCACGTTCTTGTCCAAAACCTATCTGAAAGAGGAGGACCTGGAAAAATACGTGCTTACTGGGAAAACAAAACGCATGTTGTTAAAGAAAGAAGAGGGAAAGACAGTCCAGTTTATGTGGTGACACCATTAGATGGTGAAGGGAGGGAAAGAATTCTTCATAGGAATGTTTTACTACCCTGTCCTTATCTCATTGATGAACAAGATACTAAAGAACCAAAAGAAAAACACAAGCAGAAGAGACAAGGAAACAGACAAATACACCAAACCAGAGACCATGTTCATGAGGATTCTGACAGCTGTAGTGAGGACGAGTACTCTGTGTGGATTGCTCATCAAAGTCGGACTACCAGTCTCAACCCAAAAGCCCCAGTCTTTCAGTCCAGATCAAGACAACCTGCAGAAGAAATCCAAACTAGGAGACTTGTACAAAGACAAAGCCAGTTTCAGGATGAAAATGATTCTGCTGACGTCAGTAATCAAGTGGACGACAGACATGATGAAGGAGACTTCCAGATCCAAGACACGAGTCAAAATCCGTATATGGATACTGAAGATCAAACACTTGAACTTGAAATGCCTGAGGAAGACAGCGATGCCTCTTCGGAGGTTGATCAGGAGGTGAAGCAAGAGCGACGTTCCTCAAGAACACGTCAACCAAAATCCATCTTTACATATGATGAGTTAGGGAAACCTAGTTTCATATCTTTGAAGAAATAGAAATTCTATTTTGAACAATATATAGTTACAGTTAAAGTTAATTGAAAATGTTTTATGATTCATTTGGTACAAAATATTTAGTTACAAATAAGAGTCATTTTGCAGAGATTTATTTCTGATGACTAAAGCTACACTTAAAAGTTATTGCTGTATTTACAGAAGGAAGTGAGTTTTGTAAGGTAACAGAAGTCGTACTACATTCACAGCATGTTTAATGTGGATACATTTAATAAGGTGGAATGGTAGATTTAGCCATATGTGACTTAATGGACTTGGGAGGCCTACCAATGTACCAATGATTTAAGTTAATACACTGAAACAGGAATATAAGTCAATATACTTATTCTGTGTACATGCATTTGTAGTCATTGAATGTGTAGTAGTGGTTATGGTTTTTGAAGAGCAACATGTAACTAAATGGTACCTGGTTGAATTCAGTGTTAGAAGCTAGTTGTAAGGATACATTCTTTAAGTTTTGAAGTTTAAAATGTTTTGGAAACATTTTATTATTTTAGTTGGGGAGGGTGTAGAGCCCTGAAAATTGACCATATGTTAAGAATAGCATTTATTTGATTTATGTTATGATAGTATCACTTTAAGAATGGTGCATGATGGGAGTGAGGAGGTCATGACCTTGTTAGATTAGAGAAAAAAACGAGAGAGGAAAACTATATGCTGTATACTGAACCGTGGATTTTGTTTTAATAAAGTTGCACAAAAGTGAAACTCTTCAGTTTTTTTTAGTTCTTTTCAAGGGTGCAACACAAACTGCAAACCGGAGCTCCTGTTGCTTTCATTCAACAATCGCTCTCTTCCTACCACACTTCCATAAATGCCAGTTCAATCTTCCAATGATGGCTTGAACAGATGTTCTAGTTTCAGATGTGATTCTGTAACAGAACTATGCTTTAATTTTTACTGTGCTGTTTGTCCACTAATGAGACCTTTACTGAACAGCTGCATTCCCACAGAATAAATTAAAAACAGGTGGAATGACTACTAATTCACTGGCATCTGAAGGCAATTTGGCTGCACTGGATTTTATTTAGAAATATCAGATAAAAGGGGACTGAGTACAAGTGCACATTATTCTTTTCAGATCTGTCTTTGTACATTAGTCAAGCAAACATTGTTTGCCTTCCTGCTCGTTATTACGCAAAATCCAACTGACATCAATGAAACAGCGTTAAGTTCAAGAGGAATGAGTAGACATTTAAATGACCTACCGCTGTAAGGTCACAACAAATAATTATTTAAAAAGGAAGGACACAAGGAAATTATTTCACAGGCTGTTATGAAGTGAAGGCGAACATACAATTATGTTTAAGAGCTTTTAGAGAACTAAAACAATGAGGTTTTCCATGCTAATGGTTGCTTAGTGATAGTACAGTAATAACAATAATACGGCAACTGCTACATTTTAATTCGTATTTGTAATAGAAACTGCCTTTATTAACAACAGCCTATGTCGGTTTTATAAGTATTGTATTATTGGTCTCTAATATATCCGTTACTAAATACTCAGTCGCTGCTGTTAGCATGCTAACAAAGGTAACGATCATTTCTCTTTAATGAGGAGGAAGCGCGGCCTGCTGCTTAGCATCCTGTTAGCATGCTGGGTTTTAATTACGCAAAACGGGAGAGGAAATCATCTAGTGTCTCTATATTTATACACAAAAAATGGCAATTAAATATTTACCCGAACCCTCGATGCCTGACCCAAATCTAAGCCTGAAAGTTGTCAAAAAAGTTGCAGTGTAAATAATTACCTTCGCTGCCGACTGACAACAGACCGGAAGTTTCCTGCAGTCAGCTACACCGCAGGAAGCACCAGAAGCCTTCAAAATAAAGGTACCTAAACTTGAGATTACTTTTCCAGTAAAAAAATAAATAAAAAGTCGTTCATTTCATAAGAATTTCATAGTTTAGCAGATGATAATACATGTTTTGAAATCGCACATTTATTTTATGATTTTGATTTTAAAAAATCATAAATTATTGTGACCCTCCACAAATTTCTACTCAAAATTTGGGTATTCATTGGACACCATTGTTTTGATTTTTTTAAAAAGAAAGAAAGAAAGGAAGAAAGAAAGAAACAAAGAGAGAGAGAAAGAAAGAAACAAAGAAAGAAAGAAACAAAGGAGAAATACAACACATAAACAAGTCATAAGCATCAGAAAGATAGGAATATGGATAGTATTGAGTCCACAGTGTTTTTAATAATGCCAAAGAACGAACTTGATTATATTTACTTTTCAATGGATTTATTCAGATGATGGTTCTATTATGAATATAAGGGAAAAAATAATATTTAATTCATTAAGAAATATTTTAAAAATCAGACAGCAATCAAGAAATCAGCAGATTTCTCCAAAATGCTTTAAGTAGTTAGCTGTAAGACCTTTATGACATTTGCAAAAGTATTGCATAAACTAAGTGGGTTGGATGAAATCGACTAAAGGAAAGAGTGAATGTTTTTATATGTCTTTCTTTAGAATAAATATGAGCTGAGCACATCAACAAAAGCGAGAAAATACTTAAATATTTATTATTTTGAATATTTTTCGATATTCATAATGAAATCAGAATCTTAGCGTCATTTCATTGGCATTTATTTATTGATTGATTTATGCCAAAATCACTTTTGCGGAAAATTACATGGGCTATTTAGAGGACAGTAGGAACTATTGTTCGGTGGATTCGGAAGTTAGAGGGAATCTTTTAAGCGTCGGATCACTTATCTCTTCCTGTTATTGGTTGCGTACTAAAATAGAACGCCATATCTCCTGTCTTACTCTCTGTTTTCATTTCATTTCGTAACTTTATTCAGCTGTACGTCCTCGGAGGTCAGACGGAATGCCTTTGTCTGACCGGTCCAGCTCCGACGGCGGCCGGGACTCTCCGAGTCCTCGGGCCCGGAGACCCCGTACTCGATCCCGCAGCCGAAACCGTAGCCGAGAGCGTAGCCTGTCTCCGGACAGCTTTGGGCCCAAACTCCCGAAGCCCCGCAACAAGGAGAGGGAGAGAGAGGAGCGGGAGCGTCGTTTCAAAGAGGCGAGAAACATTCGAAGATTCCGCATCGGGAGTCCCGGTCGGAGCAGGTCCAGGTCCCGGTCTCGGGATCGCCATAACAACGGCACCAGCAACCACGGCCACTGGTCGGAGCAGCGCGATGGAAAACACGGCGGCTTCAAAGATGACTATTACTACCAGCAGCAGAGGGACGACGTCCAGAGGCAGAGGCAGGAGGCTTTCATTGCCAGGTATTAAAACTCCCGTTCATGCTCACGAAAAGCTGTTTCCTTGGTGATCTGTGGTTGCTTACAACCGCAAGGTTGTAAGTTTGATTCCTGCTTCCGCCTCACATCGACGTGAGCCTGGCCTTTGATAGTTCATTTTCTTTACATTTGACGCCAGATCTGACCTGCTGTATTATTTCTGCTAAAGAACTGAAGCCCCAGAGCATGACTCTGCCATCACCATGCTTTACCGTGATCCTGCTTTCTGCATATATGTCTCCATAATAATGACAATTACAACAAATAAAGGCTTGAAATATTTCACTCAGTCTCTAGTGAACCTATGTAATATTCGTTTCAGTTCCTCAAATGAACTTCTTCACAATATTTTAATTTTCTGAGACACCTGAAGATGTTACCATCATCTTCTAGGTTGCTGTGGGTAAATAATTTTCTCCTTGCTTCTTCTTTCTATTTTTGGGTCATACACTGCAAAAACCCAAAAATCCTACCAAGCATTTTTGGTCTGGCTTCTAGTGCAAATGTCTCAGTACATTTGAATTAAGACAGAACAAACTTATAGGTCACTTTTTATCAAGTTATAGGGGCTTGTTTTAAGTCACTAATTTCTTAATATTGATTTTTATAAAGTGCTGATTTCACAGTAGATTATTTCACTAATACAAATAATTTTTTCTGCTGTTATAAGTAAAATAATCTGCAAGAAGAACTAGTACTTTCTCAGAAATATGAAGGATTTATTAACCTGAACAAGCTCTTATATTTTTCTAAAAAGTTATCTGTAAATTGTTTTTGTCTTTTTTCTATAGATTAAAAATGATTGCTAAGATTTTGTGTTTTTGCTGTGTATCTTCAGCAGTACTACTGGGCAATGTTTGAACTTGATTTATTATCAAACATTTTTTTCTTCATATTGAGAACACTCTAATCTGTCTGCTGTGTTTTCATGATTATTTTTGTTCTCTCTAACAAAACTCTAAGGCCTTCAGAAAACATAATTTACACATATTTATATTTTCTGATGTAAATGTGGTGATGCGTTCCAGGCGTCTACAGGAGCGGGAACGGATTGGTGAGCTCGGTTGTCCTGAAGTCTGGGGATATTCTCCAAGAGTGAAAGAGCCAGAGTGAGCAAAGAAAACCATCATCGATGTTCTTTATGTTTCTGCTTTGGAGGAACATTTGTGTTAATTATGGCTTTTCTGTCCATCAGCTCTGATGAATTCACACCAGTTGAAGAAGATGAGAAAAACAGCAGCTCAGAATCCAGCTCAGAGGGTAGGAAATGTTTGACCGGAAATGAGATGGTTTCTGATACAATTCCTATTAAAAGTAGTTTCCCCCTTGGATGTTTTACACTTTTTGTTTCTTTCACAAATCAGTAATGAGGAACAAAATCTGCCTTTTTTTCATACTTATTTCATACTAAATGTTTTTATTATTTTGTAGAAATCAGTCATTTCACACTAAAATTTTGGTGATGTGACCAAAATAAAAAATATATATGTATTTTTTTTGACAGAAATATTTTTGTCAAAAAAAGCCAGATTTTGTTTCTGAAGACTGATTTGTAAAAGCAATAAAAGGGTAAACCATCCAGTACATGCAGATTGTATGTTGGAACATAACTTACCTGCAAATCTTGAGCACTTGTATTTTAAGTTGTTTTGTCTCTACTTAACAGAGGAAAAGAAGAAAAAGAAAAAGAAGAAGAAGTCAAAGAAGAAAAAGACCAAGAAACACTCTGAGGACAGCGAGTTGGAATCAGATTCAGAAGGTGAAACATTTTAATTTCTTTACCCAACAAATCTGAACATCTTATTACTTGTATAAGCTGAAATGTTTTTGTTTTCTACAGAAGAAGAAATAAAAAAGAAGAAAAAGAAGAAGAAAAGTAAGAAGTAAGTTCTCATTTGCCTGACTAATAATACTCTGGTACGTTTTTGTTGTGATTGATGAAACATCTCGATTTTGCTGCAGGTCGAAGAAGTCCAAGAAGAAGAAGGCGAAGAAGAGCCGGAAAGAGTCCAGTGACTCCAGCAGCGAAGAGTCGGAGGAAGAGGAAACTGGCGGGTTGATGTGGGTGGAGAAAACCGGCGTTGATGAGAACATCGTTGGTCCGGAGGCGCCGCTCACTCATCTGTCGCAGGATGACAAACCGCTGGAGTGAGTCTCTTCTTTTGCTTTCTCATTTTCCTTCAGCTGTTTTCTGGAACCAAATCATGCAGTTTATTTTTTTGTGAGTTTTGTGTTTGTGAAACTCCCATTGTTTTTTTTTGTCTCCTCCAGTTTCGGTCACGCCCTGCTGCCGGGTGAAGGTGCTGCCATGGCAGAGTACGTGAAGGCTGGCAAACGGATCCCCAGAAGAGGAGAAATCGGTCTGACCAGCGACGAGATCGCAAACTTCGAAAAGTCTGGTTATGTCATGAGCGGCAGCAGGTGAGCAAAATTTAGAAGTAAATTAGAGCTGATTAATTGTGATGGATTGATTATTGAATAATTATCAACTGACACCAATATTGGAAAATACACTCTAAAAGAAGGCAATTTGCTGAATAAGAATAACACTGAGTAGTAATTAAAACTATAAATATGTATTTAAGAAAAACCTAATATAAGATTAAGTAGTTAAATAAAAATCTGAAGAATGTGACAATTATTTTCAGATTAATCATCAGAATAATTGATAGAATAATCAGTTACTAAAATAATTTAGTTGCAGGCTGGTAGGAATAGAAAATTTTTTCTACTTAGAAATATGATCTGAGGTATTTTGACACACCAGAAATATTAATCTGTGTGATGTTTTTCTTGCAAACGTTACACTGTTCACAACTCGAACATGTTGTTGTGTTACATAAGCTATATATTAATAAATATAGCTTATTGGAATTTTACGTGATAGACAAAAATGTGAAGTGGGAGCAAAATTAATGTATTTTGCAAAAAAAGAAAAATTGAAGTGTGGCATACTTTTGTGTTCAGCTCCTGCTACATACACACATTTATATAAAAGTCAGGCTAGAGTGGTGATCTAATCAGCACCTTACCTACCCTATGCCTTGGGCTGTCCATATAACCATTCTTTTGCACTTTTTGTTCCTTCTGTAATCCTGACATTTGATCTTTTTTCCTCCCGCAGACATCGCCGTATGGAGGCTGTGCGTCTGAGGAAGGAGAACCAGATCTACAGTGCGGATGAAAAGCGAGCTCTGGCCTCCTTCAACCAGGAGGAGAGGAGGAAACGCGAGAGCAAGATCCTGTCGAGTTTCAGAGAAATGGTGTACAGAAAAACCAAAGGCAAGGAGGAGAAGTGACTGTTGCTTAGTTTCCCTTCATCTGGAAGGATTTACTTTGTCTGGTGGCTTAAAGTGTAATATTTTATTTCTGAGTGCCCCTAAATTCAGTTTTCCTTCTGTGAGGATGAATTTTAACTGTAAAGAACTGTCAAAGTTTAGTCTAATTGTCATTTTTTTGTTTATTTCTTCTAATCCACATGAGCAGAGAAATAAAAACCTTTTTATCTCCACTGTTCTGTTCTTAAATTTGTACTGATAAAAACTCCTGAAAATAAATAGCCTTACTATAGATCTTCTGAAATGTCCATGTAAATATTTCAGCTTGTTTATAATCTAACAGATGACTGAAAATCTTTAACCTTTTTTGTACACTTAATATCAACAAAAGATACACATAAGAGCAACTGTGTTACTGATCAGTACAGACTGGAAACTATCAGATATGACAAAACTTTATAAGTATTTTGAAATTATGTAGGTGGCAAGTAAATACCTTTAACACATCTATTTAAAATACTAATGATTAGAATAGAAACTTGTATAAATTTGTTTAAAAAAAACACTTCTAGTGAGGAACAGTTTAATCACAACTGATTTTTAAAAGACATTTATATATTTAATTTACAACGTGGACATTTCTGCTCTTCATAATCCTCAGCTACTTGATGTTCTCGAGTCCCTGCAAAGGAAACAAACAGAAATTTTTTTTTATTGATCTCCAGTTTTAGTAATATTTGTAGGAAAACTACAGGTTTGACTTAAAACACACAAAATCTAAACATAATTTTGGATTTCCCTGATTCTCTCCATCTGTAGGTGATGTGTTGCCAGATAATGTAAAGATTTGTACAAAAAAAATTAAGTTATTTTAGTTTGTAAAATCAAAAAGAGCTCACACATGATTAACCCAATAAAGCACAGCAACACTGGTCATTGAGGATTTTTCCCCATTTTCACAAATTAAAGAAACTTCTTTCACTAACTGTGAGGATAATTATCTCACTATTTATGGTTATATTTGACTAATGAGCGTTGATGCAGACCTGGAGGTAAATTAACTAGTAAATGTCGAATAGCAACAGAACTGTCCAGGTTTGCAAGTTTTTAAAGAAACTCACCCCAATTTGAAAAGTCTTAAATACACCTGGAGTTTCAACACAACCTATTCAATTACATCTGGTTCTGATTGGACTTTTTCCAAACATCTACCAGAAAATAAAAGCACGTAAATAAACAAATGTCTTCGTACTGCTGTTTTTGACTCAAAACAGATTAACCTTGGAGTTAAAGTACTGCTCCGTGCCCGACACTCTCTTGTCCCTCTCCATCAGGTGCCACTGCCACGGATTCCGGGCGACCCTTTTCTCCTGCACGGGGATAAAACAGCTGCAGTCACACAAATCACGGCAGATATTAGCGGCTCGACAGCAGCATTGCTCAGAGTCACCCTTCACCTTTCCTCCGTTGGTTAACTTCTGGATGTGTGTGGTCACGATGCCCGGAAGGACCATGCAGGTTGTCATGAGGCCGAAGGCGGGGAGGATTTCATACCACATCTTCCGTTACTTCAACAACCAGAAACAACGAAGAAGCAGCGAGGACAACGTTGTCCTCCAAAAATATCAAGAATATCTGTCTATTATGCTAGCGCTGCTAACAAAATGTCGACCGCTCTGCTCCGACTTCCGTAACCAGAAGGAATGGTTTCCGGTATGAACCTTTCAAAATTAAAGCATCAAGAACCTTCTTTTTTATGACAGTTGTCGGCAACGTTTAAATGTGCGTTACCGCCACCTACTGGAATGGAGTGAGCCCACACAGACAAAATATGACAATACATTTCAAATAATTTCGGTTCATAAATTTTATTCGGTTGATATATTTTTGTTTTGGTATATAAGGCACACGTCCACATCAAATTCTCGTTTTTTATAAAAATAAGAATGCTTCACACACTCATTTACTCTTGTTGGGCTTTTATTGAGAAAGTACATTAAAGCGGAAACTGCTCAAATTTGTGTATTTTTCTACAAAATTCAACTAAAAGAAAAATCGGAGTTGAAATAATACGAAACAAATGGGAGAAAGAAAATTTGTGCAATAACGCGTTTTCTCTTTAGGGCCCCCTGGTGGCCTTGACTTTGAATCACCAACTTCCTCTCTAACGGCTGGTTTGAGAGGAAGTTGGTGAGGTCGGTTGCTACAGGCTGGCTAACTTGGAAAAAAGTAAGCAAGTCTGTTGGCTGAGATAAAAATAAACGCCGTAACCTTTCAACCATGAAGGAAGACAAAGAAAACGCTCGACCGAAAGACAAAAGAGTGGAAATAAAGTGTGTAGATGGAGAGAAGACGGAGAAGTGTAAGGAGAAGAAAGAGGCCATGACAAAGGTAGAAGTTGCTAACAGAGCTATTGTTGCTACCAGGAGTCGCTTTAGCGCTTGATTAGTTCAAAAAACAACACTATGATGTTTATCATGCTTTATTTTTATATCTAGATGAAATGTGAACATTTTAAATAGGATATTAAGTTCTTCTGTATAGCAGTTTATGTGTAATTATGAAGTTCATGATCAATTGCATTCAAACTAAAATGTTGTAGATTGTGATCAGAAGATTACCTCCAAGTCTGACTAAAGAGGAGCTGGAGGAGCAGCTGCAACCTCTTCCAGAAGTGGACTACATGGAGTTTTTCTCCAACGACACCAGGTACTTCCTCCGGTCAAGCCTCCTCTGGTCATAAAATATATATAACTTGCTTATTTTCTAAAACATTCTTTCTTTTCTCAGCCTTTTCCCACATCTCTTCGCAAGGGCTTACATCAGTTTCAAAAATCAGGAGGACATCGTTCTCTTCAGAGATCGATTTGATGGATATGTGTTCATAGATAACAGAGGTGAGACTGGTAACAATTAGTTGGGAAAGTTTACCAAAGAGTGGAGGTCATTTTTGTCTCTGTGTGTTTTTTAATAGGACAGGAGTATCCTGCCATTGTGGAGTTCGCACCTTTCCAGAAAACTGCCAAGAAAAGAAATAAGAAGAAGGACTCAAAATGTGGAACAATTGCTGAAGGTGAAATTTTTATTACACTTTTCTAAACTGATCTGTAAAGCAATATACAAATTTAATTTGACATGATTTGACATTTTCTTTTGTAATTTCAGAACATTTTCTTAGAAATGTCTGACTCTGCAATGTCAGAGAATATATTTTATTTTAATATTGCAAATTTATCCCTTTAATCATGGGAAATTGTAGAAAAATAAACATTTTGTAAATTCATCATCTGAGATTATTCCAATTTGTTTCTTGTAAATGTGTGAAATTTGTCTAAAATTTCCAGTTTTTACCTCTCAAAAGAATCAGCAAAAATTAGTTTTCTGTCAAATAACATTATTTTAAAGAGTCAGATTTTAAGAGTCCCACAGCATAACAGATCCTCTACTTTACAGCAGGCATGTAACAGTTTCTCTTAAGCATCCTTCATTTCACACCAGCCCAACACGGAGGTTACCTTATTGCAGAAAGCCTTCAAAACAAAGTTAAAGTCATCACAAATTTACTTTTGTGATGGTGGGACTAGAAATAATGGTCATTATAGAAACACGAAAAACTGATGATGCCACTAATATTTACATTTAGCTTTCATGAGTTATTTTCTTTTTTCTTTTACTGTGGTTGTGCTTTTTTATATTATTAAAATTTTCTTTTAGATCCTGATTATAAAAGGTTTCTTGAATATTACAATGGAGATGAAGAGAAGCTGACATCCACACCAGAGACTCTGCTAGAGGAGATCGAGGCACGATCGAAGGAACTTGAAGGTTTGTTTACATTCGCTGCTTCACTGTAAATATGGCAGCTGCACATTCAAAAATAAAATAATTTAAGAGGATTTTTCTCTTTCTAGCCAAAAAAACAACTCCTCTTCTGGACTTCCTGAAGAACAAACAGGTAAAATTAACACAGCCTCTGAGAAATATGTTTCAGATCATCAAATACATTTTAATAACAAAAGATGAGCTAAATGTAGGTTCCAAGTTATTAATAAGATTTTTTTTACATTATGTGAATCCAAATATGACTTGTGAATTTACAAAAGAGGCTAAAAAAGAGATAAATAAAGAAAATTGTTGACTGTTTTGGAGTTAAATTATGAAAAGTGTAGTTCAAAAAAATGAACGAGAAATAAAATATTGAATGGTTACCATGGTAAAAAACTTCAAATTGTGTTATATTTGTTTTAGATGGTTTTTCCTCTTATGTGTCAGTTTAGTGCTTTGTATATAAGAAGTGATCTGTTTCAGGTTTTATATATATTGAAATGATTTATGAAGGTGTAATAATTTAATTTAATGTGTGGGAAAAACCTTGATCTTCTGCCTGCATCTTTTTAGTGTGCTAGAAGAAGTTATTTTGTTTAGGTTTGTTAACATCTGTCTTGCTGTTCAGAGACTGAGGGAGGAGAGGAAGGAGGAAAGAAGGAGGAGAGAGCTTGAGCGGAAGCGTCTGCGTGATGAAGAGCGCCGCAAATGGAGGGAGGAGGAGCGGAGGAAGAGAAAAGAGGCGGAGAAGATGAAGAGACTGGAGAAGCCTTTGGAGAACAAAGACAAGGACCAGACTAAAGAAGAACCAAAAATTAAGGTTTGTGTTGCGGAACGTCAGAGCCGTTTCTAAGTCTGCATCATTTCCGGGGTGTTGGATTTTCTTTCTTTTCATTTCAGCTCCTGAAGAAGCCAGACAAAAGCGATGATGGCGATTCTGAGAAACCCAAAGAGAAATTCAAGAAACCAGAGAAGCTGCACAGAGAGGACAGAGCATTAGGCGGCGCCGACCACAGGAGGAGACCGAACTTTGACAATAAGGAGCGAGAAAGAAAGTCAGTGTCTTCACTCAGTTCTCTGAATTCACTGAGTTCAAACTCGTGATGTGTAGATTGATCCAGAAATATTGATGCTTATACCAGATTTTTCTTGCTTTAAGACCGATTCCCAAATCCAAGTATCAATGCTTTCAATACTTCAGTCATTTGAGATGCTGTATCTTAAGATATGTTAGAAAGTAACTAAATTACTGAGATGTTGCCTGAATGAAACAGGGCTGAAGGGAACTACTTTTTCTTCCGCCTGGTAATGCCCAGTGGCGGATCATAAAAAAAGTCAAACTTGCAGATTTTTCAGCTTTCATTTTGTAGTAGTTATTAAAAATTAAACAAGAATTTATTTCAGTAAG